ACATATACATATACATATACATATACATATACATATACATATACATATACATATACATATACATATACATAAAATATATATTTAAAAAAGGTAATTAAAAGAAGTTAAATGAGTTAGTGAGGAAGAAAGGAAGGAAAAGGGAGGGGAGAAAATTTTAAAGGTATCAAAGAATGCAGTTTTATTGGACAATGTTTGTTGCCTCATTCTTGTAGGGGCAAAATTTAGCTATATTTTAGGTAGGAGTGGTTTTATGGTCTGCTAAAAAATAGGAGACATATTGTTGGTCATCTCTCCCTGGGAATTCCTTTATGAGAGGCTGAATTAATACTTCAGGCAGGTTCAAATAGAAATTACAGTGCAACAGGATATGCTGAACTTCCTTTATGGTGTGGGAGACCCCAGAGACCATGGTATTTACCATCAATAACTGCTGAAGGGAGTATGTTGAATCTAGCCAGAGCAAATGCTCTGTGACTTTTTTTTCCTTCCTAGTGTTTTTCCTGCATGTGCAGGTATGATGTCTATTGTTTATTAAGGATTGGCAAGAATCAGCTGGCTTAGTATGTTATGTGTTTAATAGTCTATTGAATAATCGGAATACAGGGCCAGCATCATCTAAGAGAAAACCTCACTGGGGACTCACTTTGCTGCAGACAGGGTGAGAATCCAGCCTATCACAAACAGCCATTTCTTAAAGCAAGATGTCTTTGCTGGTTTGTTTCCAGTGCGAAATAAAATGCGGCATTAAAGTATCTCACTAGGCAACAAGTATGGCCTGAGTTTTAAATGTTTGCCCCAAGCTTTCCTCATTCCTCTGCATCACTGCTGCTATCACAGTGAGCACGTGCTTGTTTTGTTCCTTTTTGGTCAGAACTGTAAGCTGTGTTAGCACACAGGAGGAGAAATTATAAATGCAACACCATGATACAATCTAAGCAGAGACCAGAGTAGTAACATTTTAATTTATCAGTTCCAAGGCTGTCACACTTAATCTTTGCATCTCTGAAAGGTACAAATGGTGAGACACTGCACTGCTTTTTTGACTTGTGATCACCTCAGAGCTAACTGTTATTCATGCTGTCAAAGAATTACAAATCCTGCAAAAATCTGTAACAGGCTTTTTGTACTGAACATTCATTTTTGTATTCAATCCATATTGGTTCAGCACCATTTATTCCTGACCCCATCTCACCTTCTTTTTCTGCGTAAACTTCTTAAGTGGCTCATTCCTACTACATTTGGCTTGCTTCAATTTTTCTCCTGACATATACAACTCATACTTCCATATAACAAAATAGGCAGAGGTGTAAAAATGCAAAATAGGCATTTTTTGCTTCTCTCAACTTTCATTCCTTTTTTAAAAAATTATATTTATTAAGGATTTTTTCATAGAATAAAAGACAAATTGAAAGAAAAAAAAGGAAAGAAGAAAAGAGAGAAATAAAAAAGTGCAAGAAACAAAAAAGAGGGGAAAAAACTAAAGTTAAGAAATATATGAATTTTCAACAGATACAATTTTATTGCCCCTCCTCCTTCTTAGATGCTTTGGCCCCTCATTTAATCCAGGTCTGTCTTAATCTTCAGATTCATAAATCATCATTTCATTTCTTTTTTCTTTCAGCAAAAAGTCTATATAAAGTTTCCAATTTTTCAGAAAAGTTTTTGTTTTTACTCTCACCAAACAGGTCAGTTTTGTCATTTCTGTGAATGTTGACATTTCCACAATTCATTCCTCCATCTTAATATTCATTCCTTATAACAGACCAAATACTACCTTCCCACCAGCATTTCCACATCTTAAAATTTTTCCATTCATTTCCATCTGTAGTAAACATTCTACCAAGGTACATAAATTCATCCTCTTGCTTTCATTTTTCAACATTTATGCGTAGCTTGCAAATGCACATTCACAGCAAATCATTTGGATTCTCAGCACCCAAAACAGGATCATCTGCATACAAAAGTACATGTACATTGACATTGCCAGTCAACAGACCTGTAATGTCATTGTGAGCATCTCTTATATATGTATCTTTACACTCATCCATAAATGCACTAAACAACCAGGGGTACATCACACATCCTTTTCTTATTCTCTGCTCAGTATTAAATCAGTCGCTAAGCATTCCAATTATTCTCACACATTTTACTTCCATCATTTACCACTCTTATTGCATTCAGCAAGCAAACTTCGACTCTGTATTTGTTCAAAACAATAATTCAAGCCTATTTGCTTTATTTATGCTTTCTTTAAATCAACAACTATACTGTAAACTTTATTTCTCACATTCGTATATTTTTTAATGAAAAACAAATATTTGGTCTGCACACCCCCAGCCAAGTATAAAGATGACTGTACTTCCCAAATTTTGCTCATTGTCATTTCTCATATCCTTTCAATCAGAATTCTGCCAAAAACCTTTCTGGGCAAACTAATTTCCCTGTAGATTTGTATTTACCCTTGCTAACTTTCTATTGTTCTCATATAAGAACAACAACAGCATTTTTCTAATTGTCAGACACAGACTCGCCCACATTTTAAGAAGGTGTTCAGCCATTCCATAAGCAAACCACATCCATATTTTCAGATTTCTCCAGTTACATCATCTACACCTGTAGCTTACCCTTTTTCAACATTCTCACAGCATTTATTGCTTTCTTTACATCATTTTTATCCCTTGAGTATGAACGTTTGTAGCATTTGCTTCAATTCTACTCTTCATCATATTGCTGCATTTCCTTGTGTGTGTGTGTGTGTGTGTGTGTGTGTGTGTGTG